TCTGATCTTGGTAGATTTGCCATGTTCTTGCTCTGTTGTATGAGGGACCTTCTTCCTGAATTATTTTTGACTATATTGCCTCAAAACTATTTTTCCATTTTGACTTTGGCCTATTTAATTTGTGACTATGTTTTGTTGTGGCATTGATGAATTCCTTCCATCAATAGAGCATCCAAAGAAGATCAAACACTGTCATTTCGCACTGCAACTGCAAAGGTCCGTTGATTTATTGGCAACCTTCTTTTTTTTTGGGCAAAAAATCTCAGCAGCCATTAAATTATTGTCTGTGTCGACTTTTGACCATCAAACAATTTTTTGTCACAAATTAGCTGCTAAACTAACTAATCAGCGCACTCATGGCCATTTTGTCGGTTTTTGCTTTTAATTTACAAAATAATCAGAACCGCGTTTTGACAAAAAAATACCTATGGTGGACAAATATACCCTTGCATTTTGTTGTGTGTTCTAATTATTTTGTAAATTATAAGCAATAATCGATGAAATGACCAGAAGTGTAATGATTAGTTAGTTTAGTGGCGAACTTGTGATGAAAAATTGTTTGATGGTCAAAGTTGACAAGAACAATAGTTTAATGGCCGCTGAGGTTTTTTGCCTTTTTTTTTTTTTTGGTTCATAGCTACAGGTGGTAGCAGCCTTTGCTCCTTTTTGTGGATAAACAACTTATACTTTGCAGTCTGTTTACCAATGGATGATCAAGCCCCAAACTACCATCAAGACCAATGAAATGTTCCTTCCTGGAAGGATGTCCTTTATTTTTAACATGGTATAATCTCTTACTCCTCTGCGGCGTATTTGTATGAAGAAGGATTAATCTTCTGTTCGTGATAGTAGAAGTTCTGACCCATTTGCCAAGAATAATATGTCTTTTCTCGAATCATTTTTTTTTTCTTCACCAATAGATTTTTTATAAGAAGCGATCAATGAATTATCATTTTGTTCTTCTGATAATTCTTTGTTCTGAATTTTCATGTCAGGAAAATGGGTATTCTAATGATATTCCGACAACTCTTCACAGGAGTAAAGCTGACTGTCCAGTCCCAGAGGTACTTCCTTTACTGTCTTAATAGTTTTTTTATTTCAGTAAGTTGGCATTGAGGTTATTGACATCACCATCCTATTGCATTTTCGTGATCTTCTTCCTCCTTAGGATGACATTAGTACTTTTTGGTTTCCAGGAAATGGTTACTGTCGGTGTGGATGGTTCTGTTTTAGATCGGATTGCCAAGATTATGTCGTACCTTCGCCTTGGATCATCTGGAAAAGTGCTCAAGAAGAAGAAGAAAGAAAAGGATGCAAAAGGTGCTTGCATCTGTTTATTTTTTCCTGAACTTGAAGTTGAATCTTTTAATTGGCAAGAAAAAGGCTTTCGTAGAATTTTTTTGTTTAATTTGGCTTAAGTTCTTCATAACAAAATATTCCTAAGAACCTGAGGAGCAGAGAGGAGGTGCCATTCTCTGTCTTTGGTATTACCTGACACCTGTTAGGAGTTGAACATTATGATTACTGTTTTAGTGGTTGGAAAGCAAGTGCTTGGATATAGAGGCGGGCACATGTGTGGCTGAGCAGTTGTGACAGTGGCACTTATGAATTATCACCACATGATAAGGATCTGTCTTGTCATCTTCTCAGGGATAACTACCTTGTTCTCCAGTGGAGTTATAAAATAGAATCTGTGCTTTGGTCCTGCTAAATCAAACTTCTAGACCTTCTTGGTAGACATGTTAATGTGTACTGTGGTATTCTAGTGCCTATTTTGCAGGATTAACTCTTCTACAATAGTGAGCCCGGTATATTACTTCCTCAGTTGTTTACGATTTTTGAGAAGAACATGGCATCGCTCTGTTTGGGTAATTGAATTTGGTATCCCAAACCTAGTAAGTGTGGTGTAACTCCTTGCCAAATGGGGATGGATATATACAATTATTACAAGCAGCCTATAGCAGATGTGTCATATTCTGCTGCACAGACAAGCTGCAAGTTGAGAAATACAACATTAAGCAACTGTGACTTGTAATAGTTACTTTATCATATTAAGTTTGGGCGTACATTGATGCTTGTTTTTCCCTACTTGTGGGTTGTAAGTTTATTGCGTTATATTTACCTGTTGAGTACTTTTGTCGTACAGGGAAGCTTTCAGGTATTTCAAATGGATATGATGGAGATCAGAAGATGTTGAGGTCTGATGCATTGAAGAGTCAAAATGACAAAGAAACACCACTGCCACCACCTCCACCGCTTCCGAAAAGGATTCCTGATTCAAGGGCGAATCAGGGCCCAACTGTTGTTAGATCTGAAGAGGATGATATATTTATTGGTGATGGTATTGATTATTCAATTCCCAGTAAGGATATGAGCCAAAGCCCTGTCTCAGAGGATATGGAAGAATCTCCTCGGAACAAAGAAAGGGCATCTTATTTCGACGAACCTGTTTATGGCCCTGTACCACCCTCTGATCCCTCTCATGGTTGGCAACAAGTGGTGAGTTTGTTTGTTTGTTTCTTGGATTTTTGCTGTTGATAAATGGCAAGGCTAGATATATTCATTTTTTTTCACCAGAATTGGCATTTGTTGGCTTTTAGAATCTTTCTTTGTTTTCTATTCCCCTGCATCTTTCTCTCTCTGGTGAGGGGGTGGACCTCGACTGATGCAAATTCGTTATACATCTACCTAGAGAGTGTTTGACCTTGTGTTCTGATTTTTTTAGAGTGGATATGATGCTTTGCAAGCACAAGCATTGGTTGGTGGCTATCAGACAGAGTGGCAAGAGTATCAATATGCAGAACAACTCGCTTATCCTGACCAATATCTCCAGCAAAACCTTCAGGCTTACGATGTGCAAGCAGGTCTAAATGTGCTTCAGGACCCTAGATTCATGACTCAAGAAGAAAAAGATAGGGGCTTGGGTTCGGTGTTCAAGAGGGATGATCAGAGGCTTCTGCAGCTAAGGGAGAAAGATGCACGGGAGAAGGACCCCAATTTTATATCCGAGAGTTATTCCGAGTGCTATCCTGGATACCAAGAATATAATCGTGAGATAGTCGATAGTGATGATGATGACGATCTATCAAAAATGGATATGGGTGGAAGGGTAAGTGTATCAAATACTAGGTTTGACTGGTTGATGCCTGTAGTGTTATCCTGCTGTAATCCATATTTATGGTGCTCTGTCTTTTTAGTCATGTCTTATGATGTACTCGTTAGATTTTTAATTGACGTAGCTTTATGTGTTAATGTTCTGGTGACAATTAGATAGTTGACGCTGTTGATACTGATTTTTTGACAGGCAAAGGGGCGGCTTCATCGTTGGGACTTTGAAACTGAAGAAGAGTGGGCTACATACAATGAGCAAAAGGAAGCAATGCCAAAAGCTGCTTTCCAGTTTGGTGTGAAGATGCAAGACGGTAGGAAGACACGAAAGCAGAACAAAGATCAGAAACTTACAAACGACCTCCATAAGATAAACCAAATACTGACCAAAAAGAAGATGGAGAAGGAGGCAAACAACGATGGAGCAAGCTATGATGATGAACCGCGCTCTGGAAAGAAGCTCCGAATATGAAGCACAGAAATATCTTTTATTTCTTACTCAATGGCGTAGAATGTTATACTCTGTATTATCAAGTTGGATCTGCCTGATTCAATCGTCTATGAATAGTTATCCATCAATGCATCCTGGAAATAATCCGTCCTCTTTCTTCTTCCCATCTGTTCCATCAGCGCAGCATTCGACATTCTCCGCTATTTGTACTAGTTCAAGGTCACTGCCTGATTAGAAGTGCTCTGTATAACTACGCATGTTTCAAACCGAAAGGTCGAATTTAAAAGCAGGGTCGCTTATGAGGAGGTTTTAGTTTCGAGTTTTTGGAAATGTGATGGTTGTATTTATTGCTCGTTCTCAGTTTCATCCTTTCCCTTCCTACTTGATTACTTTCTGTAGATTTTACTCCATTATTCTCGATGTGAACGTTACTGATGGAATGCAGTTGGTGCATGCGAGGAATTGAGGATTGTGTTAAAATATTCGGAAAGTTCATGTTTCAGTAGGTAACTGGGTAAACCACTGAGCTTAGCTCAATGGCTACCAGGAGGGACTTAAGTCCCTTCTTAGGCTGTAAGCGAGAGTTCAAATTTTACCTGCAGCAAAAAAAAATTTAAAGAGTAGTGCCATAGCACTCTCTTGGTCTAGTAGTGCTATAGCACTCTCTTGGTCTAGTTGGATTTGTATATTTACTAATCTCTAGCAGCAGTTTGCGCCCCTAGAGTGAAATAACATATAAAAACTTGATACCATTTTGAAGATGAAAATTTTGATCTTCCACAAAGATTGTATTAAACTAGTGTTAAGGACACATCAATGTGCGTGCAATTTAAAAAAATTAAAATGAATTTATTTTATACAAAATTTGTCTTTTACATAAATCAAATCGGTATAAATTTTTATTAAAGAATTTTGGTTAATAAAGTTATAATAATTTGAGACTTAGATTAGTGTAGTTATGAATAGTTATAATGGCAAAATGTGATTAAGGGATAAGGGAAAAAGTTAATCTTTTATAAAGGTAAAGCTAAAAATTGAAAAAATGATTAAAATTGTTTATATCAGATGGTATCTCTCACACTTCATATACTGTATAAATAGTATGTATTATTATTGCCAAGTGTCAACGTCAAAGGGCATGAAATACGTTTAAGAACAGGGAATGGAATATAAAAGTCCATAGATAGTTTCCTAGCACAATCCACATATCGATCCCTTGTAAACCCATGATCTTTTCATCGCAAAGAAAAAAAATTGTTTCCAAAAATATTTCTGGTCTAATTTGTCCGAGTGAAAATCTTTAAATCAAACTTAAGGTCTAAAAAATCAAAAAAAAAAAACTTAAGGTCTAAGACACAATTTTGAGAACTTTGGAGGGCATCATAGCAGCTCACATTTTATCGATAAGCCCCCAAAAGCAGGAAGGGGTTTATCTTTTAAAAATCCGAAAAGGAAAAAACAAAACTACCCAGACCCGAATTCTTCTGCTCATCCAAAACCACTGCAGTACGCAACTCGGATAAGAGTTTGTCAATTTTTTCACCATCTCTGCTTCAAATATAGCAGAAATCAAAAGCTCTTACGCCATCACTATTACAGAGAAAAAGGTAAAAATTCTTCCATATGATTTTCGATTTCTATGTTTTTTTTCCTCGTATGTCTTTGTGACCTGCACTCTTCTCTGTTGCATATATATTAATAACCCTAGGATCTTAACTGAATTTCGGTTAATAAGATTTGGCACAAAACCCTAATTTGATTGGGCAAAGTAATTGGTCCTCCGTTGATTCTGAATTTTGTCAACCACAGTTGTCGAAATTCCTACAGCTGAAAGCTCGAACAAATTGACCCAACCATTTGAGTCATTGACTTCAAAAATTAGGTCTCGCGGCAGCTAGAAGAGTCTGCCCCACTACCGCCCCTGTTCGTTTAATATTGGGTGTGTTCATGTAAGTGTTTCTTGTAATTTGATGTAATGCGGATTAGGAATCTGCATCCTTCATTCTAGTTGATGGGTAATCTTTGAGAGAAGGGCGTGCATCCTTCAAAGCAACCGAAGGACGGTGCTTAACTCTTTATTTTATATATATATATATATATTTACGTGCTTAACTTTGATCTTCCGTAGCCATCTCCTCCCTTGAGTTGCCTTTCGTTCTTTCTTTCCTCCCTTTCCGCTTCTCTCCAAATTTTACCACCACCACCAGTGCATATGATATGAAAGCCTTCTCGTCTTCCTCGCCCTTTTATTTTTCCTTCTCGTTCTCTTGAATCTCTGCCACCCACTTGCTGTTTACTTAAGAGTCTTCAAAGAGAGAATTTTGGGTTAAAGGTTGATTTGTTATTTCTGTCTTTCTGTGCAATTTCTCATAAATTGGATATGGGTAAGTTATTTATTTATTTATTATTTGTTTATACCCTAAAAGCCTCCGAAAATCATCGTTACCTCCGTTCATGGATATCTGGTGAGTCAATGAGGGTTGAATTGGTGGACTCGGATGCTCTTTTGAGTTCTGAAGCCAACTCACCCCAAAGAGTCTGAACGAGTTTCCACTGGGCCTACTGTCTTTGGGGTAGGGCAGACCAGTTGCGCAATGGAGGTGGAAGTTCTGGTGACGACTTGGCTGGACCGAGCCTTTGAACGGTTTGGACACTTTATGAGTTCGGCCTGGAAAATGTTTTTGTGGGGGAGGGCAAATTAAATGAGAAAAGAGACGACCATATGGTTGTAACCAATTTATGGCTGTTGATACTCACAGATTTATCTTAAAGCTTCTGGCTTTATTGTGGACTATTGTTTGACCTTTTTAAGTTCTTGTTTACTACTTGATTTCCTATTGAAACTTTCTAGTAACTTTACTTCCTCTTCTAATTGGCAGTGTTCTTTCTTATTTCAACAATTTCCACTGCAAGCAGGTGTATCAGGAACAATGCCATATTCCTCGATTTCAAATTTAGACAACAAGAAAAGCAAGTTCAAATATATTGATGACTTCAATGATACTGCTTGGCCTGTGCCTGGAAGCCAGAGCGCTAGCCCTTCCAGCCCAAGTTCCTTGAAGCAAGGTAATCTATACAACTTTCCATTTGAGGCTGAAGACCTTTTGGATGGAGGTTATGAATCCAGTGATGATCGCTATAAGACTGTACAGCGTAATGGTCCTCCTGAGGTGAACTTGAAAAATGTTTTGAGTGGTATTTTTGCCATTTTGACTGGTCGGAATAAAAGTCTGAATGCTGCCGGAAGTCTGCAATTCTCTAATTCGAATGTTTCATTTCTTGGGTCTGCGAAGAATGGGGATGCGGTATTGCACTCATCAGTTTACATACCGAGTGCACCACCACTTCTTGAGGCAACTGCATTTAACTATAGTGCTTACAAAGATGTGTTGGAAGCTGAACCTCCGGAGTGGCTTCCAGACAGTTCCAGTACTGTGTGCATGCAGTGTAATGCTCCATTTACTGCTCTTACACGTGGAAGACATCATTGTCGATTTTGTGGAGGGATCTTCTGCAGAGCATGCTCAAAAGGAAGGTGCTTATTACCTGTTAAGTTTCGGGAGAGGGACCCGCAAAGGGTGTGTGACACCTGCTATGACAGGCTTGATCCTTTGCAAGGAGTACTCATCAACACCATCAGCAATGCAGTTCAGGTTGCAAAGCATGATGTGATGGATTGGACTTCAATGAGAGGGTGGCTAAATCTTCCTGTTGGCTTCTCCATGGAGCAAGAGATATATAAGTCTGCCAATACATTAAGGAATTACTGCCAGGTGGTGTTTCAATATTTTTACTTGACTATGTTGTTGTATTCTGTAAGTTTAGTAACCTTTTTTTTGAATGTGCTCTCATTCTGTTGAGAGGAGCAAAGGTCATGTGTTTTAAAGTTATTGTTGTTTGTCGTCCTTGTAGCAAATTTTCTACTCCTGGGCTTGAAAAGAAACTTATCTTTCTTGTCTTGTCAAGAGGACATGCATGAGTATGTTTTACCCTTGAATGACATCATTTATTTTACAAATACATAGAATATAATTGAGAGTTCTCTTAATGGACAGGTTGCTCGCTTGAATCCTGAGAAGTCATATCGACTGCACGCAATTTGGAGGGCGAAGTTTGGCATTGCGTGCTAAAGTGCGGAGTGGTAGCTTGCTTTAACATTGGAACTGGGCTGGTCCTGTGCTCAAAGAGCCGGATGGATCATGGTCACTCCATCAGTCTGCTTTCTGTGGCCTTGGCATGCGGTGCGAAGGTTAGCATTCAACAAAGTATCTTATTCTCTTCTTCGATTTTATCCCCCCCACTCGCTGGGCTGGAGGAGTGGAGGAGGTCTCTTCTTGAAAATCATGTTATTTGAGATTCAGAATTTGTTCTGTTTATTATGCTTTTTATGTTGTGTTATTGACAGTTGTAAATCATACATGTGATATCCTCAATGGGCAGATCAAAAGATCATAATTTTGCATTTTCTGATACAAGGATTCCCTCAGTTCTTTTCTTTTGAATATCTTGATTTATCCAAATGAGTCGAGAGTTTACTTTGATTGGTCAAGCTACTTCATTTTGCCATTTTCTCCAGATTTATTGAAAGCTTCTCTTGTTACATGATTTTTGCTCGCTGCTGTTTACTTTAGCAATTGTTGTAGCGTGTAACTGGTAATGATTTTCTTGTGTCTGTAGGTTGGCGGCGAACTCATGGACTTCATTATTGTACTACACGACTCAAAAGCTGTGAAAACTTTCTGTAGTCGAATGCATTTCTCTCTTGGTGCTGGATGCAGTGCTGCAGCTGGACCAGTTGGGAGGGTTTTTGAGGCAGATATGCGAGCTGGAGAGAGGGGCTCTGGCATGTGTTATACTTACAGCTGCAGTAAAGGTAATTCATTTTGGTGGGCACCCTAGCATTAACAATATACCATACAGACTGAAATGCTACTAGTTCTGAGAATAGACGTAGTAGGATGCTTAGAGATGCTAACTCTGAAATTTGGTTGGATTTAACAGCCTACTTTTCCGCTGAGAATGTACTCATTGTTTTTGATATCCTTGTGCAATAGATTGACCAAACCTTCATTCTGCAAATCGATACAGTACATTTTCTACAAAAATTCCAGAAAATTTCAATTCAAACACAACCTATGTCTAATATGGATGCATCATGTCATTTTCCCGAGGAGAATGAGGAGAAAAAAAAAGTATATGGTTGATTATTGAAGGGCTTTTTTTTTAAAATATATATATATATATGTAAGATGAAGCATCCATATGGAATGGAAAGTGGAAACCGCGTGCAAAACTTGAAGTGAAGCATCAGAATCAAGGATGGCTCCTTGGAAGCTAGCAATAAAAGTCTTGTGTGATTACTGCAACTTGCTGGTGGTGAAAACCTCCTTTCAACATTTATATCCTGTCCTTATCCATATTTTCTGACAGTATTCTATACTATAAATCCACAATTACTACTACTATAAAAGTTCGTGGTTTTCTTTTTTTTTTTTTTAATTTTTTCCAGTAAAGTTTGTTTGAAAGATGAGTGGACATGTTTTGGCTTCTGGTGGAGACAGCTTTTTCTCCGTTCTGAATCTTTTTATGCTTACAAGACTTATACATTTTATATATATATAGAGTTGTTAATGGGTCAATTCCGCAATCCTGATAGACAGAACCACTCCCTTTCATAACTCACAGTTTTTTGTATGAGTGTTTCGATAAATGGACTCTGCGAAGACACTTCAAAAGCCACTCAGTACCACTCAGTAGTGTGTAAAATGGATGCCTGCTTTTAAAATCTTTTGTCCTAATCACGAGGACAGGACTTTTCGCATCAAAGAAATGTTCATTCAATTGATTCACCACCGACAACAAACCTAAGTAAATCAAGATTCGTCTTAAATCTCAATAATATAAGAGATATTTTTGGAATTACAAAAAATTAATTACTTTTATTGTTGATCGTTTTCAGTCAAACAGAGAAACGGTTAATGCCAAAATGAATTTAGTGCCTGTTTGATAACATAAACAAGTGCTGAAACTGAATTCATTCAGACATTCAGATGTTGTGGGTGTTTGATAAATAAAATTCACCTGCTGAACTTATTAAGTGGTGCTGAATTTGTATGTATTTTTTCAGCACAAGAATCGTAGCTGAATGCTTAATTTGATAAGAGTCAAGAGATTTACTTCAACTACTTTATCTTATCTACCAAATATATCCCTATTTGTTAATTACATTCAAAATCCTTATTTAATTAAACAACTTAATATTTCCTATTCAAAATCCTTATTTAATTAAACAAAACAACCTGATATTCTCTATTCAAAATTTTTTTTTAACAATAATATTTTTTTTGCAGTAATTTTCATCCACAAACATTTATATTTTGATATTTTTTTTGTGCAGATAAATATTATTTATGTGATGCAGCTTATTCACACACACGTGGCTTTATGACACCATATCGAAATATTAGATATTGGTTGTCTGATTTTCGAAATGCTTCTCGTCCAAGATCAAAAAAAGAACGCTTTAAACCAAACACATGCAAGATTGAGAAATGTAATTGAACGTGCTTTTGGAGTATTAAAAGATCGTTTTTCCATTCTCAAAACGATGAAACCATACCCTTTTCCCACACAAAGAAACATTGTCATTGTATGCATTGCTCTTCACAATCATTGTCATTTTCATACCTAACAATTTTAAGTTAATTAAATTATAGGTTCTATTTTCTTTTTGGATTAAAAGATAGAAGGGCAAAATTGTACAATTTAGCTTATTAAGCATTAAGTTATGAATATTTATCAAACAATATAAATAGATTCAGCATTAAGATTCAGACATTCATATATCTTTTTTCAGTGCTTAAAATTCACCAAATTAATTATTTCAGTATTCAGAGTTCAGAGTTCAGAGTTCAGAATTTAGATTCAGTATTATCAAACGGAGCCTTAGTCCTGGTTCTTGGCTATTGAACTTGCCCACCACGACGGTCAGCTAAATCCTCCATGAGGGGCGGAAACATCGAATTACAGCCACAAGCATATTATTAGACTTCATCAACGCACGCTGTCATTTTTCGTTTGGTGGGGATTGGTTATATGATGAATAAAATGGAGTGTGATTTGAAGTGATGTGATATATACAGAAGTTTGATTGAAAACGGACTGGTAATGGTGTGCAATTCTTTTTCTTTTCTTTCTTTTTTTTTTTTTGATAAAGTGTACTACAATTCATGTAAAAATTAAGTAGTTTAGTATTTTCATAATGGGACTTGTGGATATAGTGCAATTATAAAATTTGGCGTACAATGTAGGTTATTGATGTGAGGGTCTTGTAGACACATTCTGCGCGCATCATGCTGTTGGCACTTGAGATCCTCGGTGACATGTTTTCGATGCCAATTCAATGCCACCAATAGTATTGTGCCAAGTGTCATGTTATTATTTACTAGTGTGTTAAATCAAGTCAAATTAAATTATTAGAAAATTAAAATATAAATAATAACATGACACTTGGCACAACACTATTGGTGGCATTGATTTGGCATAAGAAAATATGTCACTAAGGATCTCAAGTGTGCTGCTGGGAAAGAGTAGAATTCTGAAATTCAACTCAATAGAAACATTCCAAAATAATAGGGAAAAAAAGCCTCATTCATTCTAATCAGAAACTGTCTTCTTTCGTAGAGTACGAGGATATGAATCAATGATTTGATATCATGAATATGATACGATTTGATGAGGACAAAGGTTTGCTTTAGAACCCTTTTTTGCATGGATGATGAGCGGTGGTTGACCGGCCGACTGGCACAGTGTTCTGGATATGAACAAGACGGTTGAATCAGTCAAGTGTTCTGATTAATTACTTATGGTTTGAGGAAACTTAAAATTATTTAAGCTAGTGAGAGAATCACACCCTACGGTAATTAAGAAAATTTTAATTGCCTTATTAAATTTAATAGAAATTATTAGAAGTTTTTTTGGTCTTGCAAAAAAAGGTTATGATTATTTTTGGGAAACAAACAAAAAAAAAAGTTACTAGAAGTGGAAGTTATTAGAAATTATCAAATTCAAGTTGTTATTTTTAATAAATCTTTGCTTTTGTGAGGGTAAAATTAAAAAAATTAAAAATGATACTAAATTTTAACACCAAACCTCCTCCTCACACATTATATATAAAAGATGCAGAAGTTTTTTTTTTTAATAAGTAAAAAGGATCGAATTCAAAACTTCTCATTTACACACTATCGCTCCCCCCTCGATGGGGGATTGGAAAGATGTTGAAGTTAAGAACCAATAAAATGAGGCGATTAAACTGACTCTTATTTCCTCTGTAATACTTAAGAGTACTTATGAAGGGGTTGGTTTCTTCAGACACCAAAGGTTTATGCTATGTTTCTCCGACCAATGACCAATGCCAATAACCACAACGGTGACGAGAGAAATAGAACGCGAGCAAATAAAATCCATGAAGAATGCATCAGCGATTCTAAAAATCATACGTGAGCTACAGGCTCAGCCAAGCCAGCCTAAACTTTAAATGAAATCGTTTGACATTTTCAAGAGTGATGTTGATAATTATTCACGTAAAATAACAAGCATGAAACTAAACTATACAAGTAAAATGCCTCAAAGAAATTTTCAATGTATAAACATTCCAGTATTAATTTTATCAAACTTGATCATAGCTCCGTTCAAGCTCGATGGACCTTTATGCCCAAGCTCGTTCCAATTCTAATTTTATAAGTTACAGCTCCTGCAAAAGTCAATTTGTTCAGAAGCTTTTACATATATGGCTATGTAAATTTTTCTTGCTCACGCCTGCAATCCGTCTGTGTACTGTATGCCAGTGGAAGGCAACCATGAATCTCCCAAAATAAATTTAGCCACGGTAAATTTGTTAGCCACGGATGGGTCTTGAATCTCATGGAATCCAGGCCAATTGACTCTATTATCCAAGCGAGCTCCTGGTCCAAAGTTCATATACTCCCCATAATATAGAGTACAAGTGCAAAACTCCCGTTCCACGGTAGCCATCCCTTGGGATGAATTGCACTGCTAATGTACGATTGCAGGATAACCGTTCTGGAGTACAATTTCCAGGGCCTTCCGAGATATGTCTCTATATTGGCCGCTGTAACATCTGGCTCGGCCGATATGTGCGAGAATTGGATGGAGAAGCCTGAACCATCACCAGGCTCCTTCCGGCCTTGAGCTGTGATGGCGTTCTTTTGCTGTGGGAGGCCTTTTCGGGCACGGATTTGGCAGCTTTGGAAGACAGCGGTGGAACGACCGAAGATGAAATCCACGGTGCCAGTGATCAGGCAACTTTTGTAGAATTGGCGCAGGTTGTGGGCATAAAGGGTGTCTTGATATCCCCTGAATGCACATCTGTAAATGGCTGATAAGTCAGAATCGGATAGAAATGCGATTGCTTGGGCCTTTTGAGGTCCTGCGGTGTTTTGGAACGTAATATCTCGAGCGATGAATCCTCGGCCTTTTACACCTACCACATGTGACATGAGGGAGTATCAAAACAATCAGCAAATTTGTGTCAGTAATTTTGAGTGAAGTCCAACAATTACTTTAGCACTTTTGTTTTCTCGGAATGAAAGGATTCTTACGGAAGGTGCCAGACTTGTAAGATTTAAAGCCATCGGCTGCGTTTCGATTGCCAGTTATTACTGTAGCATCTATGCCATCTCCAATCAACGCCACATTCCATTTCTTCTTGTCGATTTCCACGTACTCTTGATATACGCCTCGCTTAATGTATATTACAAACCGCCTGGAAGAACGTTTAGGGACGAGGTTAATTGCATCACTAATTTTAGTGAAATTCCCAGTGCCATCGGCTGCCACGACCACATCAGCTGAACCCTTGTCAAGGGGTTGGAGCAAGAGTTTCTTTTCTTCGTGTTTAAGCCAAGAGGGAAAAGTTTGTTCATGGTTGGTGGGGTTTCTGCCGCCACGCATGGAATCAGGTGGTAAATGTACGGTGTCACGAATGCCAGTGACTAAGGAGGTCACTTGGCTGAGTCTCTCTTCCACCAGGCTTTTGATCGTCCCGCTGGTGCCATCAAAACCTTCTAAGCAGGTGTCTTGATTCACCAGCACACCGTTCAACCACGTCCTGAAATCAAAACCTAAATCACCTGTACCGTAACGAGTACCTGCCATAATTTTAAACATTTCAGATTTGTAGAATTAGACTGGAAAAAAAAAAGACAAACATGATTTGTTGGTTATGGCTATATGTAACCTTTTTTTTTCTTTTTTGGGCAAATTGGCGATGAATAACTAGCCATAATAGACTTCACCAGAGATTTTCTAGTGGCCTTGCCATAACTAGTTCATACATGCGTGTCTTGATAGTAGTAAATAGATGGATTTGGCATACAATTTACAATGACTAACGGATCAATTAAGTTGTGCAACGTAAAGAATCGTTGTTATTTTAATCAGAAAGTGTTTGGCACATTGAATATTAATAAGAGGTTTACCGTCATCAGGTTTCAGAGAAGCTGAGAGCGTCCAATCTAACAATTCAGCCGATAAATCAAGCAGTTCAAGGCAATCAGAAATGGCATTAGACAAATGGAAATCGTTGGAGACATGGCTGAACTGGGAAACAGTGGAGGTAACATTCTGGATTGCGTTGATTGCAGTCTCGAGCGAGCTTGAAAACTCCGAAACTGGCACCATCAAGTAGTCGGGCTGAAACAAATCCGAGCTGCCACAGCTTAACAAGTGAGACCATGGACACAAAAGTATCATCAAAAGCCAGAAGAAAAATTCAACACAAGAAGCCATTACTGTCATTCTTAGTTCTTTCCCCTGACCCTGAGAACGAGAAGAAATCGAGCGTGATGGCTCTGCTTATAGTGCAAAGAAACAAAGTTTGGGTGTCATCAGCCCGTTGCATTAGTTTGTGATAAAAAAACGTGTGGAGTTGCGATTACAAAGTTTAAGCAAGACGTAGGCGTACGTGTTTGGACAGAAGCTTGAAAATACTTGCATTATGCGTATTGTTGAATATTTATCAATCCATAAATGTGCAAGTTTTTAGAATCCAAGGCCTGCTGATCAAACAATATTGTCTGTAGCTTATTTTCGTAATCATTAGTCTAGGTTGTCATTTGAGGGAGTGGGAACCAGAGACTCCTCTCTATTTCCTGTAACACACTTCTGCACAAGTCTGGTATTCTATTAATTGATGAAAAGAATTTTTGCTTTTTTGGCGGTAAGAGTTGGTGCCGTTCTGCGCTTTTTTAAAGAAATATAAGAGTTACTCGACAACAATCTTTCAACTACAATCAATTTTGGCGTTAGCATTGATCTTCGCAGAACGCCAAAATTTGAAGGTTCAGAGCTCTCACTTTGCCAAATGCTAATCTCAATTCAGAGCTCTCGCAGAACGCCAACCGCACAGACTCAACAACTGAGCACCCACCAATACGTCGTCCAAAGTGACTCATTCAAGTTCAATGATCCACTGGCTATTATCACTGCCCCGACGCATCTTCAAGTAGCATTTCTTTTTAATAGACATTCTACTTTCAATAAATTATGTTTCAATACATAAATGTCCAGCAAGTAGCAACAACCCAACAACAAATCTTTGTGCTCTGTTTCCCGATTTAATGCTGCACGTTTGAGCAAGCAATTCACAAGATAAGCATCTATTTTTTGTTCCATGGTTTTTAAGCCAAGACACTACGACCCGGAAAGCCAAAAAATGTAGTAGTGGTAGCACTAAAATTCAAGGTCTAACGAGAGAAAAGAAAAAAGAGAGAAGAAACCCACCCCCCCCCCCAACCCCACAAAAAAAAAAAGGAACAAGTGCTCAAAGTCTAAAGCAAATTAAACTCAACCAAACAACAAAAGACAGAAAAGAGGGGGGGAAATGTCGGATAAGTGCACAAGGTTGTTAAATTGGCATGTTGCTTAATCGATAGGATGCTACGGAGGAGCCAGAAGCTTTCAAACATGCTGGACTCAACTGGGCTTAATTAGTACCTGTCCCCTTTAAATGAAATGCATATCAGCATCACAGCCAGCAACTTGCCTTTTATATATATATTTTTTGCCATTAATTATAAGTCAAAAAAATGTTCAATTAATTCGAGAAGCCAAAAACCTTTACAGATACGTGTGTGGAAAATTTTTCAATTTAAACAGCCAGGCCAGCCGTGTACTTCACTCCAGTCATGGGCAGCCATGAGTTTCCCACAATGAATTGAGCCACGGTGAAGTTGTTTGCCACAGCCGAGTCATTAATTGCGTGAAACCTGGCCACTTGACTCTACTCCCAATCCAGCCCCCGGTCCAGTGTTCATATACTCCCCGTAATATAAAGTATCAAGTGCAAAATTCCCATTCCACTCCAGCCATCCTTGAGGCTTAATTGCGTTGCTAATAAATGACTGCATTATCACCGTTCTTGAATACAATTTCCATGGCCTTCCAAGAAAGGTCTCGGTCGAGTTCAGGGAAGCCAGAACATCAGGCTCCGCGGATATGTTTGAGAATTGGATGGAAAAGCCTGATGGCTCAGTAATTACCTTGCGGCCTTGTGCTGTTATGGTGTTTTTCTGATTTGGTAGGCCTTTCCGGGCATTGAGCGTGCACCTTTGGAAGACGACGCTGCCATCACCAAATATGAAATCGACTGTGCCCGTCACTACACATTCTCCGTAGAATTGGCGCATCGAGTGGGCGTAAAGGGTGTCCTGAAAACCCCTTATGGCACATCTATAGACGACTGATAAATCAGAATCTGATCGGAATGCGACTGCTTGGTGCTTTTGGGGTCCTGCAGTGTTCTCGAATGTCATGTCCCGTGCTATGAACCCTTGTCCCTTGACGCCTGCACATGCCAATTGGCCAAGCCAGCAAAATTTAGCGTTTCATTTGATAGGCTAATGACGCCCTTATCGTAGCAATAAATCAATTAATTCCCTCGAGTCCCTCCAGCTTCTTCTGGATAATTTACGAAACATAAAAAAAAATGCCAATGCAGAAGCAGGCAAGAAGGTATGGGTCAGGTGGGATGTTCTTTTTGGTTCTGTAAATTGTCAAGTCATGAAGATAAAAGTATGGCCCTACACTATGGACCATGGGACGATTAAATTTTTGGTGCATTCACACGTTGACATAGTTAGTTAATTCCCTCACCAGCTACATGGTAACATGCTACTACAACGTAAGAAGCAATCAAGACTTGTATTTCCTTTGCAATCTTCACCACAAAAGGAAGGAACAAATAGAAGCCTTATACTTAGCTTTGAAGGAATTCCCCTTTCTTACTTAATGAAATCTCCACTACTAAAAGCTACTACAACTTAAGAAGTGACATATGAGTCATAATATTCAAGTCTCACCTCTATTCAGTCATGCACATGTTAGCCCGCAGTCTTAAAAAGTAACGGGACCCTCCCAAATATTTCAGTGACAATTAAAGAAAAATTCCCCCTTTTTTTGACCTGGAGTACTATTTTGATACTACTAGTATATATAGACACAAAATCTCATGATATGCTTAAAAAGTGGTCATCGGTGAGTTTGTCCGTTCACTGCCACTAAACGTAATTTGGAGCACCATATATAATGCATGATTGGGTTATTGAAAGTACATGAAAGAAAACTGGGTAGTACTACTAGAGATCTTACCAAAGGTGGCAGACCTATACGTGGTCCATCCATCGATAAAGCTTCGATTGCCGGATATAACGGTAACATCCATGCCATCTCCGATCAGCATTATATTCGGTTTCTTCTTGCTGATCTCAATATACTCTTTGTAGACACCCTTTTTGATGTATATCACGAACCTTTTTGCACTTTGTTCAGGGGCTGCGCTGATCGCATCATTGACGCTAGTGAATTTCCCTGTGCCATCTTGAGCCACTACTACATCGGCTTGGACCCATTAGCCTGAAGGAGTTTTCTGTCCTTGGATTTAAGCCAAGACGGAAATTCAAATTCTTTGCGGCTGGTCAGCTTTCGGCCGCCTGTACGTCCACCACCGCCACCGCCACTGCCGCCATTGGACTTGGAATCAGGTATTGGATGCACCATGCCGAGAACGTCGGTGACTAATGAGGTTATTTGGTTGAGGCTCCCCGCCACCAAGCTTTTGACAATGCCGTTGGTGCCCTCGAAACCTTCCATGCATGTGTCTTGGTTCACTAGCGCAGCGCTCAACCATGTCCTCAAATCAGAACTCAACCTAACTGTATTTGTATTATTCTTGCCTGTGATAATATTAAAAAAAACTAAGTTTTTCTTCAATTGGAAAAAAGATATACCAGAACTACTAAATATAGGTAATCATTGAAGTAGCAGAGTTATATTAGTGTTTTTTATTTAAATCATTTTTTACGATGAAGAGTTCCTATAACCATTTCTACCTCGCATATATCAAATTGCTACATCGTTACAGTAATTTTTCTAAAAAAAATCCAAAAAAATACGATCCAAACGTAAAAATGGCATACTCAATTAATGGTTGTCACTGCAGATATTTATGGCTAGGAGTACTTGTAACACTTTTTGGTAAATAATGGCTAGGACCAACTAGCCGAAGCGGAGATTTCTAGTAATATGTCCTGGTTGGCCACAGCCAAAAGCAAAGTTTGGCACTGTGCGGCTGTATGCTTTCAATAGTCACATTTCTAAAGCAAGAAATTTCATGTGTTTAGAAAAGCGGGAAAGGAAAACAGAGAGAATAGATAGACTACGTACCTGAAGGTTTCTGACCAGCGGAGAGAGTCCAGTCTAACTCATCAGCCGAAAGATCAAGCAAATCAAGGCAGTCTGAAATGGCATTAGACAACCTGAAATCTCCCAAGAAACTAGTGAATCTGGAGACAATGGAGGTCACCTGCCGGACAATGCCTATGGTAGACTTCAATGAGCCCACAAACTCTGAAGTTGGCACCATCAAGCACTCCGACTGAATCAGAGGAATGTAATTCACACAGCTTACTAAATGAGAGACCACAATCCAAATCACCAAAAAAGTGAACAAAATCTGGCAACGCGAAAAAGAAGCCATTTGCATTTCCCTTCTTGCAATAATAAGAAGTGCTTGTTATGGTTTATAATGCAATGAAATTACACTATGTACGGTGTCATGCAAATTAATATGGTAACGAGGCCCTCCTTTCTTCTTTTTTTTTTTTTTTTTTTGTTTGGGGGGGGGTGGGGTGGGGTGGGTTTGGAATGGGGGACCTCTAACTATAAGGATGACAAACAGTTGGGAGGAGTGCCGGAAGGAAGATTTGGAGGAATGAATGAGGCAATGCTCCCAAAAAAGTGTGATTGGGAGGGGTATTAAATAGGAGGGGTTAAGGAGGATGAGGACAATTGTGGATCATGCAAAGGGCTGTTATAGTGAGAGTTAGGAGTCAGGTGAGAACATTTATGAAGGGGTACTAGTTTCGAGTGTTGAGTAGTTAGTGTAGAAGCGAGCTACATACAAATGTAAAGGTGACTTGGTCATCATACTAGGAGTGACGGTGGGGGTGGTGGTGGACGCGGTGGGGGTGAGGGCTGTGGTGTCGGCGGTCATGAGGGTTCACTAGTCGTACGTAAGAAGGGTTCGTGGGATTTAGAGATCATGGTTTTGGGTCCTATGGGATTTCCTGGTTCTATTTGTAGCAAGGGAAAACGCGGGGAAGGCACCTTTGTAATGCGTGCCAGCCGAGATGAATTCTTCCTGTCAGTCATTTGCTCTTCAGTATTCTTTTCTTACTTTTCTTTCTTTTTCTCCTTGTCTATGGTGTCCGGCATCTCCAACAATGATTTCTGTGCACCTTTTCTTTTGGCCCAAAAGAAGAAAAGGGAATTCCGAAAGTTTATTTCAGTTCACGAATGAATAGGATTGTGTAGAGCATGTTCAGTTCATTTTCTGTGCTAGCTGCCAACTTGAAAGATGAATCAATGATTCGTCATGCCAATCAAGAATTTGCTGAAATGCGAAGAACCCATGACAGTTCTTACTCTTAGTAGCTTAAAAGTTCATTGTGCCGCTCCAATTACGTCCCCTTTGGATGGAAATTTTTGTAAAGATTTAATACAGTAGCTCTCTCTCTTTTTGAGATAAAATGTACCATATGAGATTAATAATAATTTTGCTACAAAATAATTTGCTGTAGGAGCAATCATCTCCAGTGAGAGAGAGACAGGACGTGATGACCGTAAAACACCTTATTACACGTTTCGAATCCAATTTCTAGTTGACCATAATAAAGGGCCACATGGGCTGGAAATTATTCTTTGTCCCTTCTCTTTTTTCATTTACTGTAATCATCATGTTCTTCCACTCGAAGCAGCTAAATTTCCACCAATTCCCATGAACAGACAAAGACACACCACATGAGATTCGTTCTGTACTTGTTATATGCATCACTCACTACAATAATGTCATCATGATATTAATCTCACCCAAATGCAAAATCTCGGTTTCCGGTAGGACGTCTTCCATCACCGAGTTATTGAGAAACCAATTTGGGTTTTAGCTCCTGACAACACGTTTATGTGTTTCCTAACTTTCCTGTTTCGAAAGCAGGACAACAGTCAACGTGCTCGGGTACTTGTAGATTTCTATTATTTATGAGCTTGGTATAGTACTTGGATTTTCTTTGAATTTTTACTGTTGATGAAAGTGATATTTCTTCTCTTTTAGGTAGACGATCTTTTTTACTTGCATACAAGGCTGACGCGGAAAGAAGCTACTAGCGCCGTTAGCAAAAGACACGATCCGTGCCAAAAAATATCGCCAACCATTTCATAATGATCGACAATATTGACTTCTTCCACCCTGCCCTTTAATGAGCTTTTCATGCACCAGTAGTTGATATTCAACACATATGCGGAAATGAAATGACAGAGGGAGAATTTTGGTTTCTTTCTTTCTTTGGTTTCTTTCTTTGTTAAAATTATCAATAAAGAACAAAGCACCAATGTAGCTAAATCTTCTAAACATTTCTGTAGAAGGGTTTCCAATACTCTGGATAAAAGGAGTGGATAATTTTGATTTTGCATTTTCAAATAAAATACGATGTTATTGCGGAAACATAAATTATTTGTATCTATCATCACTCTCCTATTTTTTCTTATCCAAACCTATTTTTTCTTATCCAAACCTATCAGTCAGGATTTAAACCTTGATCTGCTGGACTAGGGTTCTAGTTCCTGGTTACCAGTCCCTGTAACTAGTGATTGAATGTACAACTCAACAATCAGGTATTTCCATATGATTTCTGTAAGCACAATGTCCTGAATATGCAACTTAGATAGAATCAATTTTACTCGCCGAAAAACAAATCAGGTTCCTTCAAAGAATCCGTGATCCTGAATTATAGAACCATTTTTAACATTAACATATGTCCCCATTTATTTGTTCTGTTTGAGTCAAGAGAATTAGCTAGTGGTATTGCGAGAACTTAGGTGGAATCCTAGGGTACAGGAGAGAACTTAGTGGAATCCTAGGGTACAGGAGAGAACTTAACTAAGGTAAACGGGTGAAGGTTAGTGTATGTCAATCCGAATTAATTTGGAAAAGACGTTATCAAATGGAATTTTCCCACTTTATAAACACTGGAAAGCATGAAGGTACCAAATTGAGGTCCTTATTGCTTACTGGCGATAAAACATTTTCTGGTACTATTTTAGAGAATCTATGTGATGTTCTTTTGAGCCCATAGCTTGGTAATTCAGCAGGTAACTAACTGGAGCGCGAAAGCAACAAGAGAAGTGGTTTTGAGCACTAAAAGTGCTTCTAAAGTGTTTGCTAATTAATTTGTTGTAATTTAAAGAGTTTCATTTTTGGTAATTTAAAAACACTTGTGTCAGGAGTGGTTCTTTATAAGTTACCGCAACCTTAGATGGGGCTTAAGTGTGATCACATGCGATCAACATTGCACTTTTAAGCACCAATTGAAGGATTGGATTTCTTTCAACTTATAGAATTATAAAATGAATATGGATTTTCTGAAGAGTGTGAATGGTTAAATAACGAAAGAGGGTTGAATTAGGTGATAAGATAGAAGGAATTACAAGTAGAAGGTCATTTTTTTTAATGTTTTGAAGTAATAGCATTATGTGCAGTCTACATAAAACGTTAAATTTCTTCCAATATTCTTGTTCTTTTTAGAGTATTTAGTAATTCTTAAAGATAATTCTACAATTGCAAAAATGATAAACATAAAATACGCAAGAATGTGTCAAAGAGATCAGACATTTGAGAGGCAAAATGACTGAATGTAGTGATAGAATCTTGGCCCCATAAAATTATAACTTGCTGTATTTTTCCTAATTGATAGGAATTTTTTAGCCAACGACAAAGATTGACTTCTTCCTCCTTGGAGTACGTAATAGGCAATGCCTTTGGAAAAGCAATGACAGAGACGGGTAGGAAATTTTGGTTTCTTTGTTTGTTGAAATAGCATTAGCTAATGCTATTACTAATAGTAATAGTTTTATCCTTAGATCTTTGATAGATGGAATTGTTATGGTACGGAGAGAGGCTATGATAAAAGGTGAAGATTAATGTATCTCATATATAAATTGGTTTGGAGCAAACAGAGTCAAATTGAAATTTCCCATTTTATAAACATTGGAAAGCCAATGTTTTAAATCCAAACCGGATGAACTTTTGGTTGGTGGATCTCCAATTCAACCGTCTGGGTCAACTTTTCTAATTTATTCTAAGTTTTAAAAAATTAGGATAATGCTGAACTTTAAAAGAAAACAATGAATGAAAACCGGTTCGATGTATTGGTTTTCACCAATTTTGGCTATTTTGCTGATTCTTGATCAGCTCGAGACTAATTTATTCTAACATTCCATATTTAATAGAGAATTGAACTGATGTTATGACTGATGATCGAACCAACGATCCAATCAGGTTTTCAAACACACTGTCAAAAGCATGAATGTACCATAGTTGAAGTTAGGGATGCAAACAAGTCGAGCCGAGCTTCCAACTAATTTTATGAAACTTGAACTCGAGCTTAAAAAATAAAAAAATAATAATTATTTTATTTTAAAAATGAATAAAATAATAATTTTTTTAACAAATAATAAAATATTATGAATATATATGTAATTTTATTATTAAAATAAAAAATATATATATAATCGACCTCGCGAGCCACTAGTAAGCCAACGAACTTAATGTTTTAAAACTCGAGCTTGACTTGATTGACCGAACTCGAGTCGAGCTCGTATTCGAGCCGCTCGCATGTAGAGCCCTAGTTGAAGTCCTTGCTTAGTTACCGGTGATAAAACATTCTTTTTGAGCACTATTTTATGACCCCCATAGCCTGATAATTAAGTAGGCAACTTAGTTAAGGGTTAAAGCAACATGAAATGTTACATCAAATACTTATTTAAGCGTAAACACATGCAATCACACCGCAATTTTACATTGCAATTGAATGGAGAAAACTGATAAGGATCGGATATCTTCCAACTGAAAACTATGCGCAACTATAGAATGGATATGGATCTCCTAAAGTGTAGGAATTGTCAAATAACTATTGTTTTATTATGTTTGGACTTAGAGCACTATGTACAGGCTACATAAACACTTCGAAGTTCCTCAATGCGTTTCAGCATGTAGCGCATTGTATATAGTACTAATTGAACTCTAGCTATTGTGATCCAATAATTAGGAAAGGAATATGGTAACCACTATATAATTGCATATACATATATATATAGCAAACCTAGCTACGTAGATAGACAGCTTAAGCGTCCCTTTCAAATTGCTAAAGTTTTAATAATTATTGAAAGCTTAAAAGGGGATAGCTTTACAGAAGAGGTCCCATCAAAAACGCGTTTACCAGCTTTGGTTCCAATGCCTCGATTGTTTGGGATGATAAGGCGACGCGTTTAAGGTCCTAATCTGGTTGCCCCTTCTTTTCTTCCTTTTCTTATAACTAGCGAATC